CAGGGAGGGACCTGAGAAGTAACCAAGTCCAAAGCATCGTAACTGGACAGTAAAGAGGAGAAGCCAAGGGGTGTGTCTCCTCCCTCTACCACTGCTCCCTCTCCCTCCCTAGGCTGGTGTCCTCTGTCCAAGCCGTCATGGCCTCCACAGCTGGCTACATCGTCTCCACCTCCTGCAAGCACATCATCGATGACCAGTAAGTGCCACGAGCCCCCCTGTGCCCAGGTTCCAGCATCTTGTGTGTGTGTGTGGCCCCTGAGGTCTTCTAGGGGACTCCTGCAGTGGTCCCCAAACCCTTCCCTAACGGGAGGAACTGAGGAGTGGCAGCTGGGCAAACGCAGGAGCTGGGGTGGTGGCGCCGAGCCCTGGGACAGGCAGCTTTGGGAAAAGGTGGGCAGGGAGGGACCTGAGAAGTAACCAAGTCCAAAGCATCGTAACTGGACAGTAAAGAGGAGAAGCCAAGGGGTGTGTCTCCTCCCTCTACCACTGCTCCCTCTCCCTCCCTAGGCTGGTGTCCTCTGTCCAAGCCGTCATGGCCTCCACAGCTGGCTACATCGTCTCCACCTCCTGCAAGCACATCATCGATGACCAGTAAGTGCCACGAGCCCCCCTGTGCCCAGGTTCCAGCATCTTGTGTGTGTGTGTGGCCCCTGAGGTCTTCTAGGGGACTCCTGCAGTGGTCCCCAAACCCTTCCCTTGGGCCTGAGCAAGTTAACTGCAGTAGCTGCAACTCAACACCCAGGGATAAATTTATCCACGTCCTGTCCTTAAAGGTCAGAACCAGCCGGGGAAGGAATAGGGATCAAACAGGATTCTAGAAGCAGCTCCTGGGCCTCCCAGCCTCTTTATCATAGGTCCTCCCCTACCTCCTCCCACCCTACACCCTTCAGACCCTATTTCCAACCAGCAGCTAACTGGGGTGCCTTCTTCTTCATGCTGGGCTCACCCCTCACCTCCTCCCAGAATCCAGGGATCCAGCCCCAGCTTCATGCACAGGGGAGAGAAGATAGATGACAAAAACAAGGCCACTAGTGGTGTGTGTGTGTGTGTGTGTGTGTGTGTGTGTTGTGTGTGTGTAGAGGTCAAAATTTGGCACTGGTAGCTGCTGCAGTGCCTGGTGCTTGCCAAAGCCCAGGCCTGAGAGGTGGGGCCAGAGTGGGAAGCAGAGGGCCCCTGTCCATGGTGCTGACAGGCCAGCTCTAGATGACCCACGGGCTGCGCCAGAGTTGCCTGTAAGGATGCTGACGAGGCCCCACGCTTCACTTTGGGCCCCGCCTCCTTTCTATGGTGGCTGTCGAGCCCCAGGGACATTGTCTGGATGAGCCTGAACTGGAGGTGCCCCATCTTTCCCTGCAGATGAGTCCCCTCATCTGTGGATTGGGGTACATCCCAGCGTGGAAAGGCAGCTGGGAGGAGTTGAGTTGTGTGTTAAATGCCTAGAGCAGTCCTGGCTCACAGATACTGGATACTGAACTCTTTCTTCAGACTCCACCCATGTGACTGCGCTTCTTCTTGCCCTCGCCCCCTCTTCTCCATCCCTAAGTCCAAAATGAGCCTGGATCCCCACACATTTCCTCCCCGCCCCTCCAAACAGAGGTCACCTTCCTCTTACCTCTCCTCCCTGCCTAGCTCGGCTCTCCTCCCTCCCCTTTTAATCCTCAGGTAGAAGAGGAGGATCAGGGCTAATCTAGGGGCCACAGCTGTTCCTGCTTCTAGCACCTCATTGCTGAGAGGGTGGGTCCGGGGGTCACCCTTCACATTGCTGCCCAGGGATGGTGGGTGGTCTTAGTTCCCCTAAAAGCCCGTGGTCCCACCGCCTACCATGTCCCTGCAGCCGGTTCTCCTGGCCATTCCCGCTCTAATGGCTCCCAGGCTGCTGGACGCCTCTCCACATTCTGCCCTTGTCACTAAGCTGCTGCTTCTCTCTCCCTCCTGGTCCCGCTCCCGCTCCCGCCTGGGTCTCAGCTGCTCTTTCCCTGACGTGGCTAAGCTCCTTCTCTCTCCCTCCTGGTCCCGCTCCCGCCTGGGTCTCAGCTGCTCTTTCCCTGAAATGACCCCGCTGGCACAGGCCGCCTGCTCCCTTCCGGGCCGGCCTCCCCCAGATCTCGCTCCCCCAGGGCTTACATTCTGCTCCCAGCACGAGCCCACCCCCAGCGACCCCCAGTCCACTTCCAGGCCTCACTCCCTTGCCCTGCAGCAGAGCCTCACATCTGGCCTCAGCCCCTTTCTGTGACTTTTCTTGGCTGACGTTGCTTTGTCCCTCCACTTAGCTGGGCCAGCTCCCCCTGACCTCCCACCCCGCCTCGGACCTGCCGCGGCACCGGAGGACTTCCGAGGCAGGGCTCGATGGACTGGCTCCAGCAGAAGAACGCAGAGTTGCATATCAGGCACTTTTCATTTTTGTTTACTCTCCAAGTACATAGAACTCTCTCTGCTCTCGGCTCCTCTGGCTCAGCGTTTCCTCCGTAATGCTTGGCTGTACCTGGGAGGACGAGACGTCAGGCCACACTCGGGGGCAGCAAGTAGCACGGACAGCGCCGGGGCCTCCTCCCATGCTTGTCTCCAGCCTCCCAGGCAGCAGCGGCTGAGAGGCAGGCCTACGGAGCCAGGCTTCGGTCTGCTCCTTGGCCGGGTCACCTCGCCCCCAGTTTCCATTTGTGAAACGGAGGGGTAACCATACAGCCCTTTCGGAGGGTTTCTGTCGGGGAGGAAATACGTGCATGTGAAAGGCTGAGCGTATTAGCATGGTGCCTGCGTGGAATCACTAGTCAGCGTTCGCCAATACGGTCTCTCCCACCACTCACCCGGTGCGCCCTCAGCGCTGATGCCTTTCATATCTGCTGAGTTTGTTTTCTCTCTACCTCTGTTCTTTCTTTCTTTTTTTTAAAAATATATTTTATTGATTTTTTACAGAGAGGAAGGGAGAGAGATAGTCAGAAACATTGATGAGAGAGAAACATCGATCAGCTGCCTCCTGCACACCTCCCACTGGGGATGTGCCTGAAACCCAGGTACATGCCCTTGACCGGAACCGAACCCGGGACCCTTCAGTCTGCAGGCCAACGCTCTATCCACTGAGCCAAACCGGTTTCGGCTCTACCTCTGTTCTTTCTCTCTTTCCCTTTTTCTCCCACCGTACTGCAGAGAGAGATGAATGAATGAATGAATGAATGCATGAATGAATATGGAAAATCGATGGGTTTTGAAGTCAGTCCGGGCTTGAATCTCACCACTGCTGCGTTCCGCCCTCTGACCTGGGTTCCATCCTGCAGCTTGAGTGTCCACTCCGCCTCAGGGGTGTGAGGGGCATTGAGGTCTGGGGCCCAGGCTGCGTCCAGCACCAACCCTGGCGCCCGCCCGCAGCGGCGTCTGTGTCCTTTCCTCCTGACACCTCCTCCTTTCTCTGCCCAACAGACACTGGCTTTCCTCCGCCTACACACAGTTCGCAGTGCCCTACTTCATCTACGACATCTATGCCATGTTTCTCTGCCACTGGCACAAGCACCAGGTCAAGGGGCACGGAGGGGACGAAGGCGAGGCCCGGGCCCCCGGCAGCACCTGGGCCGTGGCGCGCGGCTACCTGCACAAGGAGTTCCTCATGGTGCTGCACCACGCCGTCATGGTGCTGGTGTGCTTCCCGCTGTCGGTGGTGAGTCCCGGCCTGCGGCGCTGTGGGGAGCCTGGGGGGTGGAGGCCCCAAGGAGGTGTAGGGAGCACCAGCCCAGCCCCAGGCCGCAGGAGGGGCTTGGAGCTGCTGCGGCTGCATGTGTCTGAGCCCCAGTTTCCTCGTGTGGAACACAACGCACACCATCCTGCCGCCAGGACTGCTGGGTACAGTGAGGGCAGGTGCAGGCTCAGAATGAAGCCTCTGGAACAGCGGTTCTCAACCTGTGGGTCGCGACCCCTTTGGGGTCCCTAAGACCATCAGAAAACACATATATAATAACATATTGTTTTTGTGATTAATCACTATGCTTTAATTATGTTCCATTTGTAACGATGAAATTGGGGGTCACCACAACATGAGGAACTGTATTAGAGGGTCGCGGCATTAGGAAGGTTGAGAACCGCTGCTCCGGAAGGTGGTGGAGGGAGAGCAGGAGAGCAGGTGCTGCCCACGCGCCCAGGGCGAGGCCCGCTTCCTCCCTCTCCGCTCAGGTGTGGCGTCAGGGCAAAGGCGACTACTTTCTAGGCTGCTTGCTGATGGCCGAGGTCAGCACGCCCTTCGTCTGCCTGGGCAAGATCCTCATCCAGGTGAGC